TAATATCAGCAAAAGGGTGAGAGGCAACACAACAGCAGCAAAAGATCTGCTTGCTTAAGACAGGAATATGTTATGAGCAGATTTGTTTTTAGGAACATACTTCTATTACTGGGAGAGAGGGGGTGAGCCTAGAAGTAGGAGAACAGTTTGAAAATGTGTGGCTATGAAAAGGGCCTAATCTAAGGCAGTGGTAGTGGATGGACACAAGACATCCATTTCCAGCGATATGTCTAAGACAATATGAGTCCCAGTGGGAATGGGAAAGGGCCAGGAGTTGAGGATAAAAGTAAAGATTCTAGCTTGGTGGGCGAGGGGCTGGCAAACTAAGCCTGGAGAGAGTTACCCAACAGCAAGTGGGGCTCTGCTGCCTGACACCACCCTCTAGGCAAAATTCTGGAGACAAAAGTTTGGTGATAGAGGAAAAGAGTCTTTATTCAAAAGCTACACAATTTTGGAATAACAGCTTTCCACCTGCATTAGTCACTTAAGCCTATCAATTAAGGCTAAAGTCTTTACCTCTTTAATTCCCCTATCATTCACCTTGTTAATATTTAATTATCTTATTTGCATAGGACTAGTTTACAAACTAAAACAACATCAGATGCAAAATCTACACAATTTTGGAAGGATGGCAGGCTTCTGCCTCAGAGGCTGTCCCCTCTAGAACACCCAAAGAATAACCCTGCCACCCTCTGCCAGGCCAGCCCCATCCTAGGCTGTGCCGAGTTCCTTCCCATCGAAAATACCGCCCTTTGGGAAATGCAGGCAGATGCAGCACAATCATCCAGGCTTCCTCGAGGAAGAGAGCCCAAGAGCCAGTCTCTACCCTCCTTCTGTTTTAAATCTTCTGGCCCATAATTCCATGTGCTCCAGAGGCATTCAGTTTTTCAGCCAATCTTAACTTAGGCTGTTTACCATTGCCTCGGGCAATCTCCTTTTATGGCCCCTCCCCCTTCCTACTCCTCCTCTGTGATCTGATCAGATCTCTGTATCAAGAGCACAGACAGCACAGACAAAGCTCTGGAGACTATGTTCTTGGTGTGAGAAATCTGAATAACTAGCATGGTTTTTTACTGGTCATGGGAGATATGGCTCCTGGTAGATTGGACTAGAATTATGATTTAGAAGTCATCAGCAGTATGGAGATTAAAGTAAAATAGTCAATGAGGCAAATTTATATTTAATGAAAATAAACCAGGATGAGCAGTGCCTGTCAGGAGAGTCAGAATGCAGTACTCAGAATCAAACACAACACCACAGGTACTGTCCGCACGCCCACCCAGTACCCAGTGCAGTGAGACATGTATTCTTTGTTCTGGACACACTGGCATAGTCAGTGAAGAAATCTGTGGTTATTTTTTGGCAAACACATCACACTGATGTTTCATACTATCTAAAGTTTGACTAAAATCTGTGGATGATTTCAGTTTAACTATTATTATTTTGGTCTCTTCTTGGTTTTACTGGTGTAAATCATCTTATGAACCTAAGTATAGTACTTTCCAATTATAGTGATTGTATCAGATATGGGGCTTTTGGTGCAAGAACCAAAATACTCCACTAAAGGCAGTTTATACTATGAAGACATTTATAGCCTCCATGTAACTAAAAGTTCGGAGGTAGGTATGGTCAGGGTTGGTTCAGCAGATGAACCATGATGAGGAGCTGAGACTTTTCCCTCCTTTAGCTGTCAGTCAGCCTCAGTATGTCTAATACATTCATCAAACACAAAAGATGGTGGCAGCAGCTCCAAGCATAAAACATCCAAAACCAGGTGGGAGAGGTGGGCTTTTGATTCAGAGGCCTACTATCTTTCTCTCTTGTGTAAATTAAAAATAATTCATGTCCAGGAAAAGATATAAATCTTAAGTGTACAGCTGAATGAGTATTGACAAATGCACACACCCATATCCACTTCTTTATTGAAATACAGACCATTTTTGTCACCCCAGAGAGCTCCCCTGAACACTTTCCTAGTTAACCATCGACTTCGCCACCACCCCTAATGCCACCCAGAGGCAACTGCAGCCCTTATCTCTTAAATATTTCTTGATTTTCTCTCTAATCAGGGATAAAAATCTTTCCTAGAGGCCCTCTGCCCCAGCACACTTTACTGTACATCTTCTTGGCCAGAAATGTGTCTCTTCTGGCTTTTACATCAATCACTGACTAAAGAATGATTGTTAACACCACCCTATTACAGACCATTCACTCATCCCTTTGGGGCTGAAAGAGGTGCCCATCTGACCTCAACACGTAGCTTCAGATCCAAATAAAATTGTATTTTATTTTGTTTTTTAAGCAAGGAAGAAGAGGGAAATGGCAGTACGGGTGCATGCATACATGCATGTTCTCTCTCACACTCTCTCTCTCTCTCTCTCTCTCTTTCTCTCTCTCACACACACACACACACACACACCCCATTCTGTTACTCTATACCAGCCAATATCTGACCTATATTCTTCCACCTTTATTTCACTTGCAAATATGTTTATTCAAGTCAATGATTAAAGTACTGATAACACAAATAAATGTAGAGACCACCCCTGAAGTTAACATCAATTCACATCCAATGCTTTGGTCAAAGTTCTTCAGGTCCAAATACAATCAATTTATACTTGTCTGAGCCCCTAATCTCCATTTTAGCTCCCTAAATATCATGAAAATGTCATCCATTTGACTTTATTTCCTATCCTGGGGAACACAGAGGTATGTCAGTGGACATGTTGAGTGCTTTTTCCCATTTAAAATACCTTTTTGTTTTTTATACCTTAGTGATTTTCATGAGCCTAAGCTTATTTTCAGCTCAAATATTGAGTATTTATCAATGGTTTTGTGCCTGTTACCTCTTTTTGTACACATCAGAATGGTAACTTGGTTTTTGATTGCCCTTTTATATTTACTATTTTCAGTATGTTGATAATTTCATTGTCAGCCTCCCAGTTTCTTTTTACTCTAGCTTCCTCTTGGTTTATATGTTTCTATGATCTTAATAACATAAAAACTTGCTTTCTAAACAATGTCCAGTTTTAGATATCTAACTGTGGCTAGCATATTCTTCATTATTGGGGACCCTAAAATGGCATTGGCACATGCTGTTAAAACAATTTCCATAACTTCTGTTTCATCCTTATTGGTTACAATTAAGTCCATAACATCACAGTCCCCTGTCACATTACCTACCCTTTCAGAGATAAGAGTATTAGCAAGATCAGTAAAAAAATTATCAAATATTCTGCTTCAGCAGAATGATGCTTCCAGAGCATGGATGTGTAGTTCCAAATGTGACATATGTCTGCCTCTAGGCCAGATCTGGAACTTGCATTGGGAAAGCAGCAGTCATATTCATCCACCTCAGGTATCTGTATTTGGTTCACACAGTATTTTCGGCTGATGTGTCTTCTCCTGTACTCCCATGCTATGTTCTCCACCATGCTTAAAGCTACAAGTTCAAGGATTTCCAGGCAGGGCACTCTGTCATGTATCTCAATAGGTGTGATGTTACTTACACAGACTATAACCCCTTGTTGACATAGTCCAGGGATTACCTAAATCTCAGAACGTTTGTCTCGCCTATTTTCATTACATTTGAGAATTTCCTCATTATTTTATCAGACCTAGTTGAAAGGTATTAGTGTTAAAAGTATTTATCAGAGATAGAGCTGAAAGAAAGTCAATCACATTTTAGCATCTTAAAAAGAAACCCCTTGCAAAGTACTACAAGAACTGAGAGAACAAATTAAAGGTAAATTCTTTCAATTTAAAAAACAATCTATTTCATTTTTTGGTAGCAAAACTCATATAAGTAGATTTTTTTCTGGTTATCTCTTTTGAATCACTGACATTTTCTCAGCTGCCAGGTTAGCTCCAGCATTAGGTTGCACTTGATATTCTCCACAGTATTTTATTTTACCATCTTATCTGAGAATTGTTCTTCCCTGCCCTCAAATTTCAGCTTAAAGTTCTCTTTTATTATTCTGGTAAGACGCCTGTTTAGTGCATTTCTGTCAGATGTGCTCTATCCCTTACAGGGCATCTGGTGTATTAACAACATAAGCCCCCAGTCAAGAAAACCCAGTTTTTGTCTTCTTTTGCTGTTTTGATAGGGTGCTACTTGGTACTCATTGTCTGTTAGTTCTTCAAAGACATGCCTTCAACTGGAAGAAGAAACGAAAACACCCCTTCAACACCCATGCCAAGTACCTCTTATTATTTGTTGCCATATGAGTACAGTCTATAAATCTGGTAAGTTTCAGGAAACCTCCCGAGAGAACCTTCCATATCAGTTCCATCAGGATTTATCTCAATGTAAATGAGAAAGAAGTAGATGTCTTCCCTCTTTTCCCTCAACTGGAGGACTTAGTTTGGATGTTTATCCTCTAACTCTCAATTGTAAATCTTAAGAGACCTAGATACATTTACCTAATGTGTAAAGAATGTTATAAATTATCAGCCAGTGCATATAAATTTTAGATACTATTATCAAGAATTCCTCTATCGGTTTTAAAAATATTCTCCTTTATTGATAATAGTTATAAATGATTACATATATAGGACTTAAAATCTAAAGTTGAACTTGAAAGTATACCAGACACAAGAAAGACAAAAAGACATAGTAATACTGTCTAAAGGAATTTTGAAATTTACTCAGTAAGGTAGCATTCCTGAGCACAGACATAAGCATGTATCATATCCCCCCATACCACCAGGCTTCCATAAAAATGTGACACACCCAATTGACCATAACACTGAGCTCACATAAGTGCTTTTGAGATGATTTTATAGCAGCAAGGAAACATCAGTTCAAATTATTCTCTAATCTTAGAAGAATACAAACACTTGATACAGAGAATGGATTTCATAAAAATAATTAAATAAACATAGGAATGACATTCTGAAGTTATATCCATATGGAATTTTTATGACAAAGAAAGATTTAAATAAATGACTTCCATGCAAAATACAGCAATACTGAAAATTAAATAGCAATTTTTACTTACTTTTACTACGACAAGCTTCATTTGGTTTTCACACCTCTGGTTATCATTTTCTGTGTATTCTACTTCAAACAGGGTATTGTACTTTTCTAGCATGGTAGCCATTATCTTGTTGCAGAGGTCTTGTTCTTTCATACATTCAAGCCCAGGTGGCACACTAAAAATAAGGGGAAAAATTGAGAGGAATTACTTTGGGAAAAGTTTTCAATTAGCAATAATTGTGCCTCAGATAAACCTCATTGGCTACAATACTGCCACTGTGCAAAGCTGAGAGGAATTACTTTGTAAAAACAAAAATGCCAGAACAGCTATTTCAGGCTTATAGTTAGACATCTCAATGACTGAGCAGCCTTCTTACAAGAACATATGGGATTTTCAATAGGCTTTATGGCACAGGTGGCAAACAAAAGGCCAAATCCGGCCCTCCACCTTGTTTTATCCAGCCGGCACCTTGTTTCTGCCCGGTGGCAGTGCCGAGCTCCTTGCCCCTAGTTAAGGAGTAGTTACATTTATACAGTCCTAAAATTACATTCAGCCCTTTGAAGGCAATCATGAGGCTGATGTGGCCCCCAGTGAAAATGAGTTTGACACCCCTGCTTTATGGCGACATATACGATGTTATTGGGACAACTGCTGATTCCCAAGATCTGAAGCAATAGCTTGTGCAGAATAAGAAAAGTACTTGTTGTTCAGGAAGAAGTTATAGGTTAACATGGGTGCGACAATGCATTGTATATATTAGGAATTGCTACATGTAAACTAACATTTACATAAAAGTAAAAGCTATAAAGAATAAGTGTCATGACAAAAGAATGCGTATTTTATCATGACCGAAATACTCAGCCACACAAAAAATAGTGATGCAGTCTTTAATAATTTCTTAGATAATGCATAAAAAGTATAAAAATTAGAGGAAAAGATGAATACTGGTGGGAAAAAATACTGATAATTGGTGAGGCTGAGTGGTGGGTACATAGAAGATTTATTAAACTATTCTGTCTTTTTGGTATGTCTAAAAATTTCCATAATTTAAAATAAAGTGGGAAAAAACCCTCTGAATGTAGAAGACACCACAATATAAATAAGATGAATATCTCTTCAGTAAGATTAGTAGAATACAAGGTCTGTCTGAAAAAAGTCCAACCATTTTTAATATAACAAGAACAGTTTGCATGACAATGATGTAACCTGGCAGCCAAGGAGAGTGGACTGGAATGCACATGTGTGAACAATGACAACTTTACTGTACTAGTCGGTGGGGGTGGTAGATGCTGTTGAGTGAGCATGTGTGGCTGTTGCATTCAAAACGACTGAGCAAGTAGGGCAATGAATCTGCATCAAATTTTGTTTTAAGTTTGAACAGTCCTCCAAATCAGAACAGAAACTATTTTGATGATTCAGAAGGCCACAGCTCTTGGCAACTGATGACTGGCAGCTTCATCACAACAAAGTGCCTATTCGTGCATCACATCTCATGCAGAGAGTTTTGGCAAAACATCAAATTACCCAGGAGGCTCAGGCTCCCCAATAGCCCAGATTTGGTGCCCTGCAACTTCTGGCTTCCCCCAAAACTAAAATCACCTTTGAAAGAGAAGAGATTTCAGATCATTGATGAGATTCAGGGAAATACAATGGGGAAGCTGATGGCAATTGGGAGAACTGTGTGAGATCCCAAGGTGCCTACTTTGAAGGGGAATAAAGGCATCATTATCCTATGTACAATGTTTCTTGTATCTTGTATTCTCTTCAATAAATGTGTCTATTTTTCCTAGTACATGGATGGATGCTTTCTGGACAGACCACAGCATGTAAAGAATTCCTACTAATAATAAGAAAGTGAATTTTAAAAAAAGAGACAAAAACATGAGTTTAACAACTTATAGAAGAAAATATTGATACTTGAACAGTCAATAATTATATGAAATGATACTTAACATCATTGAGTAACCTCTGTATTCCCAGGGAAAAGCTTTAAAAAGACCTTAAATTTACACCTTAGGCTTATCTTGGCATAAAGATGTCTACACAATTAAAAAAATCAATAAAAGTAAATACAGCAAAACCTGGGGGAAAAGAAGAAAAGGAGAATCTGATTTCCAGAATTATCATGAAGTATACAAAGTAATAGGAAAGTATGTCTTATTCAAGGAACAAAACATGTTACAGAAACTGTCCCTGAAAAAAAAGACCTAATGGCAGATATAATAAAGATGTTGAAAGAACTGTTTAAAGATGCCCCCAAAAACTAAAGGGAGATGTGACTAAAGGGACATGTGACAAAAGTAAAAAATAATATGTGAATGAAATGGAAATATCAATAAAGAGAAAGTCCAAAAAGAAGCTGAAAGAAATTCTAGAGATGAAAAGTACAATAAGTGCAATGAAAAATTGATGAGAAGAATTCAAAGGCATATCTGAGCAGGCAGAAGAAAGAATCAGTGCACAGGAATATAGGACAATGGAAATTATTAAGACTGAGGAACAGGAAGAAGAAAGATTAAGAAAAGGAGACAAAATCTAATGGACCTGCAGGACACTAGCACGTGGACCAACATACATATTACGGGGGTTCCAGAAGGAGAAGAGGAAAACAGGCAGAAAGAATATTTTTAGAAATAATGGCTAAAAACTTCATGATGAAAGACATGAATACAACAATCAAAGCAGATCAGAAGACTCCAAGAGACTTGCATTGAGACACATTATGATAAAACTTTTGAAGGACAGAGAAAGAGAGTCTTGAAAGCAGCAAGAGATCCCATACAAGGGATCCTCAATTAGACTGTCAACATATTTCTCATCAGAAACTTTGGACATCAGAAGACTGATATATCCAAAATGCTAAAACTAAAACTTGTCAACTAGAATTATCTACCTGGCAAAAATGTCCTTCAAAAGTGAGGGACAAATTAAGATATTCCTAGATAAACAAAAGCTTAGGGAGTTAGTTACCCCTAGACCTGGTCTGCAAGAAATGCTCAAGGAAGCACTGCACAGTGAACTGAAAGGTCATGGAACAGGAACTTGAGGCCTTATGGAGAAAGAAGGATCTCAATAAAGGTAAATATATGGGTAAATATAAAAGCTAGTATTATTATAACAGTGGTTTGTAACTGCACTTTTTATTTTCTACATGATTTAAGAGACTACTACATTTAAGGTACACAATTAATTAGTGTAAAAGCCAGTACTACTGTAACTTTGATTTTTAACTCCAAATCTTGTTTTCTACATGATATAAGAGACAATGCATTTAAAGGAATAATTAGTTACCTTAGTAGCAAAAGCAGACAAGGAACCTTCAAGAAGAGGACATCAGAAGCCAACATCCAAAATATCCAACATCCATACAGATGCCAAAATCCAAAACAAAATATCAGCAATCTGAATTCAACAATACATTAAAAACATCATACACTATGATCAAGTGAGATTTATTTTAGGTATGAAAAGATGGTTTAATATCTGCAAATCAATCAGTATGATATACCACATTAATGAAATAAAAGATATGACTCATTTGATCCTCTCAATAGATGCAGAAAAAACATTTGACAAAACATCCACTTATAAAAATTCTCAACAAATAGGTATAGAGAGAACATACCTCAACATAATAAAGGTCATATATAATAAGTCCACAGTTGACACTATACTTAACAGTAAGAAGTTGAAAGCTTTCCTCTAAGATTAGAAACAAGACACAGATGCCCACACTCATCACATCTATTCAAAAGTTTTGGAAGTCCTGGCCATAGCAACCCAAACATGTGTGTGATTGGTGTGGCTCAGCTGGTTGGGCATTGTCGCATAAAGCAAAAGGTTGCCTGTTTGATTCCTGGTCAGGGCAGGTGCCTGCATTGTGTTTAAAAAAAAAAAAGGCTTAACTAGGTAAAGGAGGATGAGATATTTCATTTGCAACCTCTCTTTGTACTGTCATCATCTGCTTCATCAATACTTTTAGAATACCTTCAGTTCGCCAGGACTGAATGTACCTAACTGCATTATCACTAGATCACATTACATAATCTTGTCCACATTAATTCCATGCAAATAAATGCTGACATGCTGAGACAATCTCTCTTATGTAGTTCTTTGCAAAATAGAAAAAAAAATCTATTACTGAAAGTAATCACTGAAAGTCAGGCTTAATAAACTTTATAAAAGGTAAAAGTTCCAAATGTATATTATCCTATCTATGAGTCTATTGTGATTGACCTATGTTCATTTGTTATAATTACAAATAGGGTATAAATGAAAAACTGGAAGATTTTTAAGAAAGATAACATTTAATAATAAAGTTCACAATGTTTCTCGGAATTGAGGTGAGGCAATGGAAAAACAAAAATTTATAGAAGTGTTTATGCACCTAGCTCCACCTTAGGCAATGTTTTCTTTTTTACAACCTACTTATATTGGTGTGTCCAGGTATTCAATTTATATTAAGCACGTCCGTTTTCATGTCCCTCCTCATATTGCAGATTTTATGAATAGTGCCACTTATTAATCCAGGTGATGAGTCAGTCTTTTCTCCTCAAAAGCACCAATGGAAGATAAAACTTCCTAAATTAAAGGTCTAGAATACTACATGAACAATTACCCAACCATGTCTATAAAATAATCAATATTCTGGGGAAATTGAAAAAATTCACATAAATTATTAAGATATTTTTCAAATATCCAGATGTTTGACACTGTATTACCAATCATTTGGGTGGTAAATAAAAAATAAATTTTTAAAAAATAAAAAATTTTTGCACACACCACCAGGATGTGATTGGAGGTAGCAGTGACCTGGGAATTGGGAGGCCTGTGTGAGCATAGGGACACAAATACTTCCCCTCTGCTGCTGGCTGTACCCCTCAGACTCCCGGCGCTGGAAGCAGAACCAGAAGGTGGTAGGTTGCTCAGGTGATTCCCCTCAATCCTTGACCGAGGTATCACTTTTACCAGAGCCAGAAAGCTAGTTTCAAGAAAATTGAATAGATCAGCACATGCAGCTGTGAACCAGCTCCTTCTGGGCTCCAGTAACTGCTCCTAATAAGGGGTTTCAGGCCATGACCACAGGTGGGAACTGTGGGAAGTGTCCTTGGGGTGAATGCCACCCAGGGCATGGCCTGGAGCCTCCCAGCCTAGAGTTGGCAGTGTCAGAGGTCA